CTCAGCTTTCAGAAAAAAAAAACAGGGATCTCTGTCAAATCCCCAGTGACCTGAGACTCACAGCCTCCTCCTGGGGGAAGGCTCCGTGTTCCAGGTGGGTTTCCAGGGAACACCAAGTCCAGCAGCTCAGTTATTTCAGTTATTTGTAGTAAATAATGAGGACCAAGTGGGCTCGTGTCACTGCCCTGCTTGAGTACATGGCTTGCCAATGGAACAAGCAGTGGAGCCATAAATGAGAAGGGATGTAAATACAAAAAGCAGTGGGCAAATATTCCACGGCCCCCAGCAATGGGAGGGTGAGCTGAGGCATGTCATCTATGAAATATTCCTTTAAAACTTCAATTTCCAGGACTCGCCAGCAGTCACTCAGAAAAAGAAGTATCAAGTTTCATAAAGTGCACGCCCAACTAGGTCCTAATAAAGGATAAAAGGCTGCAGCTCTTTTTTTTTGCTTATAATTGGATCTTCTTTGCTGTAAAAATTGTGGGCAAAACTTGGGGAAATTTTCATTACCCTAGACAAAGTTGCATAATTGTTACCGTGAAAAGCCATATGGTTTTGATTAAAGCTTCCAAATGCCATTTACTGAGACAAACTACCCAGTCTTGAGGGCCTTTGGATCGTTTCAGATTGCTTAAGCTTTTATTAAACCCCACTTGAGGTTTGGGAAGGAGGTCATTTAAAACAAATCCCCTCCCCAAAGTGAAAGGCTGGTGGGTTGACAGCTGCTGCTGGCACCTCCTGGGCTTTGCAGTGGTTTTGGGGAATAAGCATCTGTGTCAGACTGGCATCCCTCACTGGTACCTGCATAAATTGTATCACTTAACATTAAGGCAGAGTTTTAACAGAGGCTCCAGAAAAATCTCATAATGCCAGAAAAAACCCTTCAAGTCCCTATTAAGGGCTGGGTGTTGGGGTGTGAATTGCACTCCAGCGCATTTTGGCACCAGATGTCAGGTTTTAGTGCAAATATTAGCTAATTAAGCCTCTTCTGAGAGACACAGTTGAAGTGCTTGTCCTTAGAGATGCACAAACTTTGTCAGCGAGAGCTGAAGTGACTTTCCCAAAGTCACGCAGCTGCTTTTAAACTCACCCAACTCAAATTAAAAACTACACACCACTTTACACTTCTGGGGGGTGTGTTCAGCTTGATTGAGAATTGATAGTGTGGGGAAGTTGTTTAAAAGGCATCTTCACCCATTTGTTAAACAAGGTGTGAGTAACTATTACCCACAGTAACCTGTGTTCCTGTTCCACCTGCCTGGTGGATTCTCCTCTTTGCACTGAAATCATTACTAGTCCTGTCCTTGTGTGATGCTGGAGCTACTGGAGCTCATACAACATTTTTCCATGTGCAGTGGAGTCATTGCTTTAGCTTTTTGTGCTCCCAGTAAGCTTTGGCAGGACGCTGACCTCCGGAATTGTAACTGTTAATATTTTCTTCCTCAGTGCTCCCCTGAATCTGGTGGTTTGTGAGGGGGTTTTTATTGGAAAATAAGAACAAAAAAAGTCATACCTTAATTCAGGGGTTTTGGGCTTGGGGACAAAGCCAAGTGGAACTTAATGCTGTTATCAGTGCAGACACGCACAGCCAAACCAGTCACCCTCTAATTCAGTCAGTCCGTACTGAGCATTAGTTTTTGTGCTTTTGCTGTCCCGTTGATTTTTAAGGTCAGAAGTACAGGGAATAATTTCTTAACCTGCTCCTGGGGAGGGGTACAGAGGGACTAAACAGCTGTTTCCCTTGGAGGAAGATAACAAGCATAGGGAAGGAAGAATTTAGAGTGGTGTTTCTGCATTGAGGAATCCTGGGAGGGAGGGGTTGTCAGCGAGTAGGTTCAGCTTTTGTTCGGGTCTTGCCTGGCACAAAATTTCAGGGCAATATTCTGCACCCCATTGAGCAGAATTTTGTAGGAAAGGCTTTTCTGTGCTTTGCACAGCACGGGAAGGCAGAGGAGAACCTCTCCAACCCCCCCATCACTAATCTGTACACTTCATAACCGCTCAGCACTGAGGCTGTTCCTTATTTCCTGGCAAAGACTGCAAGGTGGTGTCTAAGTGAAGCTTCTTCCTAATGAAATCTTAATGATAATTGGGTTTAGTTCCAGTTCTTATTTAGGTGCTGAGAAAAGAAATCTGTGGGTTTCAGGGTGCACCAGCATTAATCAGCCTCGTGGCTTTCATTGAGGCACCAGCCTTTCTTATAATTATCTTAATCTTGTTTTACTCAGAGCCAGATCTGAAGCACATCCAGGAGGCTTTTCAGATCCAACAGGGACTTCCAAAGCTTGTTGCTTTGCACTGGGAGCAGTGGTGGTGGATGCTCTGCTTTATTTGCTGCCCCCACGGGATTTTGACCATTCTTCCAGCATTTCCCATTTGTTCATCCAAGCAGAGATTCTTTTCCTGGTAGCAATGCTTTTCTTGTCAATACTGATGTAAAAAATGGTTCCTAGTACCGTGTTTATTCCTCCAGGCATTATTTTGGCTTCAGGCTATTCCTCCTCCTGCTGCTGTTCTCAGAGAGGGTGGAATCCAGTCTTGTGTCTGTATGCAGTCAAAATATATTAAAATCTGTGGACCAGCAGGTGGTCAGAGGAATGCTTTAGTGATCCCTGTAAACTGCAAAAAAAAAAATCCATTTAAACTGATAGAATGTAGAAATTAAAAATTACATCTCTCTATTTTCATTAATAATGGGTTTCCTTCTCTTTTCCTTCTGTCCTAGGCCAAAAACAGACAGAAGGACAAAGAAAATCACGAAGCAAAGTTAGAGATTCAGACTGTGACTTGAGACTGAGACACTCCAGGGTTTGGACTAGTTTCTTTTAACAAATAATTCCTTGCAGTGTAGAAGGCTTTGTAAATCCTCTCAGTATTTATCCACTAAAATGCAAATTAAAATGCTGAAATAATATGATAATGATGTGACATGCAGTGTAAGGGTCTGGCAGAACTGGACTGGAAATCTCGTGGTGACTGGGGCAAATCGTTACTCACTATTTCCATTGTACTTTCCCTTTTCTCTGGGTTTTGTTCTGAATTTGACTTTTAGCAGGAAAGGTCCACAAAGGTTTCTTTCCTGAACAGGGAAATGAAGCGGTGGCAACTTCTGACTTTGTTTCTTTATTTATTTATTTTAAACTATGTGTGCAGAAAACCTTTTTAAGAGGGGATAAAAATCAAAGCCTAATTTTTCATCCTTGTAAACGTATAATGATGTTCCTACCAGTTCCCGCTGATAAATATTTATCACCTCTGTGTTTTCTCTGGGTTCCCAACCGCACTGCCAAGAGGTTTGTCATCGCCAAACCCAAGGCTCAGCTACACTGAAGACAAGAAAAAAAAAAAAAAAGAAAATTGAAATGCAAGGGACTGTTAAAGATCAAAGGCTGCCAAAGTGATTCCACGTCTTGGTGCTCACAGAGTCACCTCCTCGCTTCAGAGCAAGGCCCTCGGATTCGACGTGCAGGGAGAGGAGAGGGAGTTGTGTTTTTGCAGCTCGTGGGCCCTGAGGAGAGAAAAAGAGAGAGGTGGAGGGAGGAATTTAATTAAAGAGCTGTGTGGGCAACGTGGAGCTGTTACGAGAGACTTCCTTGTGGGAGAGGAAGGGTCTCCACACATGGGTTGTGAGGGCATCAGTAACAAGGCTCCTGAAGGGAAGCAGGCTGGGTTCTGATGGAATTGGTTATTTAAGGCAGTAATTCTTCATGAGTTCGTAAAACAAA